TTGTTTCCTGTCTTTCATGATTGGATGCACTGATTAATCCAGGTGTGTATGACCTAAGTAACTGGCCAGACACACCTGGATTAATCAGTTCGTCCAGTAATGAAAGACAGGAAACAAAGGAACTGATTTAAATTCAGGAAGTAGTGGAGCTGTGCATAGAGCCCATTAACACATTGTTGTCATCGGTAACACACAAGCACTCAAAATTTAACACACCTGTGTCATATCAGTAATGTGTTGCACCCAATCAGTAAGGGGGATATAAAGCCATGTCAAATCCAAATGGCATGTGTGATTTTCACAATGGAGCACAGGAGAGAAGGTGGAAGTAGAAGTGGACGTGGACGAGAAGGAAGAGGAGGAGGAGGAGGAGAAGGAGGAGGAGACAGAGGAAGAAGAGACAGAGGAGGAGACAGAGGAGGAAGAGACAGAGGAGGAGGAGGAGGAGGAGGAGGAGACAGAGGAGGAAGAGACAGAGGAGGAGGAGAAGGAGGAGGAGGAGGAGGAGGAGGAGGAAGAACAAGAGCTATCATTTCCAATGAAATTAGAGCAACAATCATACACCATGTTCTGGTTCATGGAATGAGTATGAGGGAAGCAGGACTACGTGTTCAACCAAATATAAGCAGGTTCTCTGTGGCCTCCATTGTCAGGACATTCAGAGAACACAACCGGTAAGTGTACTATCCTTTGTGGTCCCTCAAACTTACAGTACAGTATGTACAGTTGTGGAATGTCTCAGTAAATTACTGTAACATCTCTAAAAATTGGCCCTTTTCTTGCAGGATTACAGTAAAACTAATAATAGTATTACATAAAAATATATATTTTGTGTATTTTACATATTTGGTTACATTGCATTAGGTCTGTCTGTACAATTCTAACAAGATGTTTTATTTGCTAGAATTGAAAGACTGCCACATGCCGGTGGAAGGAGAGGTATATTCTCACAACAGCAGGAGACCATTATTGTCAATATGGTCCTTCAAAATAATCTCATTCGTCTGCGAGAAATGCAACAGCGAGTTGAGGAAGACAACGAGAACTTTGAAGGAATCAACAGTGTGAGTCTCTCCACAATTGACCATGTCCTGAAACGCAACCTGATAAGTCTCAAACAAGCCTACAGAGTACCATTTGAGAGAAATTCTGAGAGGGTAAAAGAGCTACGATATCAATATGTACAAGTAGTAATACGTAATGTCCAGAGATTATACAGCACTATTGACTTACTGTACATCTTAACTGTGTTGAATGTAATGCAGCACATGTATACAGAGTCATGAAGCCTGGAATGCTATGTCATTTACGTAATATCAAAAATTAACTATTTTTCATTTCTATAGAGAATGTTTCAACTGGATTTCATGGAGAGGCCTCATGAGTGCATCTTCTTGGATGAAGCTGGCTTCAATCTCACCAAAAGGAGAAGGAGAGGCCACAAAATTATTGGTCAACAAGCCATTGTAGAGTTGCCAGGGCAGCGTGGTGGCAACGTGACCATATGTGCTGCCATCAGCAGCTACAGGGTCATTCAACACCATGTGACTTTAGGACCTTACAACACTGCCCATCTTATAACGTTTCTGTATGCTCTACAGGAAGCATTACTGAGACGTGAAGAGAGAGGTGATGAGCAGGCAGAGCATCCCATGTACGTGGTAGTTTGGGACAATGTGAACTTTCACCGTAGTCCTAGAATACGTGAGTGGTTTGAAAATAACCCACGTTTTATAAATGTGTGCCTCCCACCATACTCGCCCTTCCTTAATCCCATTGAAGAATTTTTTCTGCATGGAGGTGGAAGGTCTATGATAGAACTCCTTATGTACAGGAAAATCTCCTTCAGTCAATGGATGCAGCATGTGACAACATTGAAGTGGAATCGATTCAAGGTTGGATTCGTCATGCTAAAGGATTCTTTCCCCGTTGTTTAGCAAGGGACAGGATTGCCTGTGACATTGATGAGGTCCTGTGGCCTGACCATGCCCAGAGGCATGATGCTGAGGCAGAGTGATTCCAAGACATTGCAATCGATCTGCTGCATATTTTGTTTGTGACTATATTTGTGTGCAGGATTGTGCAAGTACTTCATAATAAATCAAAATTGTCCCCTGCTCTGCTTTGAGTGCAGTGTTTTGCATTTATCTCTGTAGTGTGTAATGACTGCTGTGTAGTGTTTATGCATTAGCTGGATGTGTGTGATATCTGAAAACAGTGTTTGGTTTTGGGTAAAGATAACATAGTTGTGAAGCAATTGTATGATATAGCAAGACAAGTCAAAGGTTTTGACAGTGTAGCTTAAGTTTGGTGATTTGTGTTTAAGGTTTTGGGAAAGCGAGAGAAATTTTCAAAAAATGTGTTTTAGCAACTCAGAAATACTGTAAAAAAAGAAAAAAAAAAGAAATTGTAAAAATACAGTCATATGTTTATTACTTTTTATGTACCGTATTTTCACGACCATAAGGCGCACTGTACTAAAAGGCACAGTCTCAGTTATGTGTGCCATTAATGTATTTAACACACACATAAGGTGCACCGGACTATAGGGCGCAGGTTTTATATACCGGTAAATATCTTCTACTACATTGAAATACCTCTACTGCGTATTTAAAAATAGAGCTGGAGCAAAACTGAGTATGTTTCTGCTTTATTCATGTATTTATTACAAAGTATT